AGTCCGGGCCATCGGAGCCTGGTGTCCCCTCGGCGTCTCCCCGACTCGCCCCTCTTTCGGACCCGGCGCGGCCGCCGATGCGCACAACTTTCCGTGCCTCTCGGGCCGTCAGCTGCTGCTGCTGCTTCTGCAGAGAAGGGCCAGAGCGGGTCCTCCGAGTGAGATCGTGCAAATAAAAGCGCTCATCGCGGCGCCCGTCCCGCACCCCCTTTCCCTTCCTGGGTCTGCCCCGGTGTCTCTCCCAGGACGGGGGACAGAGCGAGGGGTCAGATTGCCATCGCTGGTTGGTCCGGGACTTCCCCACGTGCACCTGCTTGACCTGGCGACCTGGGTGTCCGTCCCGCTGGGTCCGTGCGGGGTGGGGAGCTTATTGGAGCCAGAAAGAGTGGCTGCTGCAAGCGCGAGCTCCGTGCCTTTCCCCGGAAACTGATGCCTCGCTTGTTTGTTTGTTTGTTTGTTTTGTTTCAACAGTGTTTCCGTTCCCCGCAAAAAGAAACACAAGCTAGAGCAGGAAGATGACGAGTAAGTTGCAGGTGCCATTTATTCGCTTTGTCGTTTAATGATTGACCCTGTTTTGTGTCCTTCGTGATTTGTTTGCCGTGGAAAGATGGAAGGAGGCGCAGGAACCGATAGCACCAGTAACATGGGTGGTGGTGCTTTAGAGAAAGTCACCCGGTGGCCGGCAGAGTCCGGGCACCTCCCGCTCTCCAACGGATTGCGAAGTTTTCATTTTGAACCATGTGAATATTACACACGCACACACAGTGAAAAGAATTCCAGGAGGATGTGTATGTAAAAGTCCTACCTTCCCAGCTCACAGCTCTCCCCAGAGGCAACCACCGTTAACTGCTTCCTGTATCTCCTCTGGAAGATAATTATAAAAAAACTTACACGCTTATCACTGTATATGCCTTCATTTGTAAGAAGATATATTGTTCACACTTATGCAACACAATCATCTCTTCATTCTACTTTCTTGTAGCTTGTTGCCTATGGGCACATAGAATTTACCTAATTCCTTTCGTAAGGCTAGGTATAGATCATCAGTATCCTGTGGATGGATTGCCAAGCTATTTCTAATTTTTTGCTATTACTAACAATTCTACCATGGGCTTTTTTTTTTTTTTTTGCATGTGAAGAAAGATAAAGATTGAATTTAACAATGACTTTTTGAAAATTAAGTCTTTATTATTGAAATTATTACATGTGTCTCCACCCACCCGCCCCCCTCCTGCCCCAGGCCTTCACCACCCTATTGTCTGTGTCCCTGGATTATGCGTATATGCATGCAAGTCCTTTGGTTGATCCACCTTCCCTCTGACATTCCAGTCTGTTCCATGCTTCTGTGTGTCTGGATCTATTTTTGGTCATCAATTTATTTTGTTCATTAGATTCCACATGTGAGAGATCCTGTGATACTTATCTTTCTCTTAGTGCCTTATTTGGCTTAGCACATGGCCATTCTTTTTAAATTCTTTGTATATATTTGCAAGTAGGTGAATGGATTTCCTAGACAGGAAATTGCTGGGTCTTAAATGTATGCATTTTAAATTTCTTTTTTTTTTTTTAAGAATTTTTAAATACTTTTTAAAAATATATTTCTTTTTTTTAAATATATTTCTTAATTGATTTCAGAGAGGAAGGAAGAGGGAGAGAGATAGAAATATCAATGATGAGAGAGAATCATTGATCAGCTGCCGCCTGCACGCCCCACACTGGGGATCAAGCCCACAGCCCGGGCATGTGCCCCAACTGGGAATTGACCAGGAATCGAACCGTGACCTCCTGGTTCATAGGTCCATGCTCAACCACTGAGCCATGCCGGAACCAGAGTTGTCAACTTATATTCTTTATAGCAGTGGAAATGTCTGTTTTTCCATCTTCTCACCACATCTATATTTTTAAATTTTATGATCTAATAGGCAAAAATTGTAGTCATAGGTAGGCAGTCAGTGGGGAGGGTTGGGGTGGGGGGGATAAAAGAGGATATCCAGATGACCAGCCAAACGAAAAGATGTTCAACCTCATCAGTCTTTAGGGAAGTGCATATTAAAGCCACCATGATATAGGAGTGGTCATGGAGCATCAGGAACTCTCAAACACTATGGATGAGAATGTAAATTGGTATAGCACTTCTCGAAACAGGGTGGCATTATCTAATAAGTTGAAGGCACATGTACCTTTTAACTCACCAGTTCTCCCAAGTATGTACATGTGCACATCAGGAAACATACAAGATGTTCTGGTCTTGAGATTGCACTTGCTAATGCCCAGACCATAAAGTACTTTTGGCCTGAATACTGAAATAGAACAGGGCTAGTTGCCATACCGCTTTCAACTAAACTGGTAATATCATGCTTGCAAATACTACTTCATGATAAGAGTTTGAACAGTTGAACTTTCCTAAGGAGCTGGCAGTTTTTAGTGAAAATGGCACAGAAGTAGGATTCAGGGGCTCTAGGGTGGGTCTGTCTGGTATCCAACATGTAATTCTGTCTTATATGACATTTGGAAGGAGTACTTAAGTTTTTCTAGATCTTAGTTTCCAAATGTGCAAAACAAATTGGATTTGATGAACTCTAAGGTCTCTATGAAATATAAAATTTTCAAGGAAGTAAAGATAGTTTAAGTTTGAAGGTAGGGGAATAGTGTACCTCATTAATCAAGAACTCAGAGAGCCAACTGACAATATGGCATTTTGGAGAGGACCAAGAAATCATCAGCATCATCAGCACCTGTAGTACTTAGACCGGACCTGATGAGGCATATGTTTTTGCCATAAGGGAATACAGGATGCCTACAGACCACTTTCTCATGTGACCAGTTTGATAGAGCAGCAGCAATATGACAAAATATGGCTGGTGCTGAATTGCTGCTTTGTGACTTTTGGTTCCTTACTCCCACTTGACCTATCCAGAGCCAAATAGGAATGACTTTAAGTCTCCACATTGAACACTTATAATTTATAAAAGAAAGATATTGTAGGTACAGCTTAGTTTGGCAGAGAGCAGTAGAAGAAAACCTTTCAAGGAGGCTGTGAGAATGACAGAAAAGAAAATGCGTGATTTTATAAACACTGTCAGAAGTTATTAGAGTTCTTTCATATTAGAATTTGATTAGAGATAGGGATGATCTACATTTCATTTATATTCAGGATTTTCATTGAAAAAACTTTTTTTTCCAGTTGCCCAGTAAGAAAGAAAAGGCTAACTGAAGCAGGGCTCTGTGCTGGTCCTAATGACTGGATTCTTTGTGCACATCAGGATATAGAGGGTCATGGAGTAAGTCCATGCACTAGTGGCCTTTCTGCACCTGCCATGTTAGATGTTATTTGTGAAGAAATGGATCAGACCACTGGAGAACCACAGTGTGAAGTTGCCAGAAGGAGGCTTCAGGAAATTGAGGACAGGTAAATGGGCAGCGTATATAACGGGCTTGTTGCTGTTCCTATGTAATGTCTCTACTCTTTTAAGCTAGTCTAACTCATCACTTGATGATACCTTGATCCTCAACCTCTTAGAGAAACTGTAAAAATAAGGGAACTCAAAATGTACATATTAAATGTTAAAGTAAGCTCTTCTTGTAGAACTGTACAGAATTTTTTCACTTACTACTATCTCTGAATATTAATTTTTGGTTTATGGGAGTTTCAGGGAGACATTCTTTTTTTAAAAAATATGTTTTTATTGATTTCAGAGAGGAAGGGAGAGGGAGAGAGAGAGAAAAATCAATGATGACAGAGAGTCATTGATTGGCTTCCTCATGCACACCCCCTATTGGGGATCAAGCCTGCAACCCAGGCATGTGCCCTTGACCGGAATCGAACCTGGGACCCTTCAGTCCACAGGCTGACGCTCTATCCACTGAGCCAGACCAGCTAGGGCCAGGGACACATTCTTCAACTTTGCATCTAATATAAAACTTTTATTAAATGAAATGTTGAATAACTATTCTGTGTATAATTTTTTCACTCATGTATAGCCTCATGTTTTACTTGACCTTTTGCTATAGCACCTGTTACTTTTATCCTTTTTTATTTTAATTTTTTTCCAATTACTAGAATATATAATAGTTTGACTAAGTTTTTTTCTCTGCTTCTTCTGCCTTTATTTAGAATAATTGACGAAGATGAAGAAGTTGAAGCTGACAGAAATATTAACCATCTCCCCAGTCTTGTCCTTTCTGATGCTATGAAAACAGGTTTGAAGAGGGAATTTGATGAAGTCTTTACAAAGAAAATGATTGAGTCCATGTAAGTTTTGGTTTCTAGCTTCCACTTACTTATGATCTTGAAAACCCAGAGTCTCTAGACATTGCCTATCCTAGCCTAGCCGTCTCTTCACCTCCTGATCACCAGCCAAGGGAAAGAGCAGTAGGTTTTGTGTTAGTCCAGGTTGCAGACCTTTTTAGTACATTGGAGTGAGCAAAATGCTCTGCAAGAAAGTTTGAAGAATGCAATAGTTTGCCTACTTAACCCTTGGATTCTTTGAATACAGTCCTGAAATGCAGTGTATTCTATTTGGGAATGGGAGGATTGGCAAGGAAGATCCCATTCTCTTAAATTCTTATGATAGGACATAGGATCCACATTTCAAAACCTCTTGTTTACCTGGCTTCTCAATCATCCAGGAACACTATCGAGACCTAGGAAACAAGCAAAAATGTCTCCCAGCAGTCAGAAAAGAGAGTTATCACAAAGGTTACAAATCAA